AGGAGAACAATCTCGAAAAGGCCATGGTCAAAATGGCCAACGAATGGGAGGGCGTCGAGTTCTCCATATCGCCATACAGGTATGTACATTTAGCCACATCTATGGCTGTCGCCTAATTGAAATGTCTTTCGCAGGGATTCTGGTACCTTCAAGCTGTCTGCCGTGGATGACATACAAATACTGCTGGACGATCAAATCATCAAGACGCAGACAATGAAGAGTTCACCCTACATCAAGCCATTCGAGGCGGACATACTGTGAGTACACTCCCAGCGTTTGTTCAGCACTTGTCAATGCCAGGCAAACGCCAATCACACGCGCACTCATCCACATGTCTTACTAATTCTCGTTGTGCACTTGCAGCAAGTGGGAGGCGAAGCTTATGCTGTTGCAGGAAATTCTGGACGAATGGCTGCGCGTGCAGGCCACCTGGATGTATTTGGAGCCTATATTCAGCAGTCCAGATATTCAGCAACAAATGCCCGAGGAGGGACGTCGCTTCAGTGCGGTGGATAAGGTGCGTTATTTGTATACCCTGCAAACATAAAAAATTAGTAAATTGGCAAATGGAAGTATCTAACGAGCTGCTTAAAGCATATAAATTCTTGATCAGCTGAGCAGTATATTCGATATAGTCATATTCTTCTGTCTGTATAAGCTCAGATCTAGTTCCTTGAGGTGCTTGATAAAAGGAATATAAATTCTGGTGCAGCAAGTTTCATTATCGATAAATATCGATTTTTGGAAGTCTTCTTGACCATATCAAAGAAATTTTAAAAGCTGCGTTTACAGGGTATATACTAGTCGGTATCGATTAGAGCACTTCAGCTTGTTTAATAGGTTTAAGTTTTCAACTGTGGTTAACTGAATGTCTATTCCTGCACCTTGACAGATTTGGAAGGAGCTGATGAAGCAGGTGGCCTCGGATCCGCGTGTGCTGACCGTCGTTCAAATTGACAAGATGAACGACAAATTGAAGAAGGCGTACTTTTTGCTGGAGATCATCCAGAAGGGTCTCAATGCTTATTTGGAGAAGAAGCGCTTGTACTTCCCACGCTTCTTCTTTCTGTCCAATGATGAACTGCTCGAGATTCTGTCGGAAACGAAGGATCCGACACGCGTACAGCCGCATCTCAAAAAGTGCTTCGAGGGCATGAGCACGCTCAACTTCAACGAGGAACTGGAGGTTATCGCCATGCGCTCCTCGGAGCGTGAAGAGGTCATTCTGGCGGATGTCATATCCACGGCCAAGGCGCGTGGCCAGGTGGAGAAATGGCTGCTGGAGCTTGAAATCGACATGAAAAAAAGTGTTCATCAAAAGATATCCGAAGCCTTCTACAGCTACGTTAAGATGCAGCGCAGCATTTGGGTACTCACATGGCCGGGTCAGACTGTGCAGTCCATATCGTTGACCTATTGGACACTGGAGATAACCGAATGCTTTGTCAGCGAAACGCCCAAAGAGAATCTGGCCAAGTATCTGCAAAAGTGCATGAATCAAATTATGAAAATTGTCGATCTGGTGCGCGGTGATCTCAACACACAGAATCGCATAACATTGGGCGCCTTGGTCGTACTGGATGTCCATGCACGCGATGTGCTTGCCGAAATTGTGGCCAAGGAGGTGGAAGACCTGCAGGACTTTCAGTGGTTATGCCAGCTGCGCTATTACTGGGAGGACAACAACCTGGATACGCGCATGATCAACTGCTCCCTGCCCTATGGCTATGAGTATCTGGGCAATACGACACGACTGGTGGTCACTCCGCTGACAGATCGTTGCTATCGCACGCTGTTTGCCGCCCTGAATTTGCATTTGGGCGGCGCACCGGAGGGGCCGGCTGGCACTGGCAAAACGGAGACTACCAAAGATTTGGCCAAGGCCGTCGCCAAGCAGTGTGTCGTATTCAATTGCTCCGACGGCTTGGATTATCTGGCGCTGGGCAAATTCTTTAAGGGATTGGCTTCATGCGGCGCCTGGTCCTGCTTTGATGAGTTCAATCGTATTGATCTGGAGGTGTTGTCTGTGGTCGCACAACAGATTCTCACCATACAGCGTGGCATTAACTCGGGCTTACCCACATTGGTGTTTGAGGGCACAACCTTAACGCTGGATCCCACTTGTGCGGTCTTCATCACAATGAATCCCGGCTATGCGGGACGATCCGAGTTGCCTGATAATCTAAAGGTAAGCTTAAAGCTTTAAGAAAATAGAAAAAAATAACTTTAAGGGTATTAAATGAAGGGTAAGATTAAGTGTAGTGAATAGATTGCATATGGATTAATTAGGCTTATTGTAATTTGATTTAATTTAGTATGAAATAGGAACTTTAAAAAATCTTAAATTTTGAAATAGTTCATTTGCTTTTTAATTGCACACTTTTTGACGGTTGGGAGTATCTTATGTTAAATTTACAATTATCATAAACAAATTATATGATAACAACATTTAATATATATTTTTACGTTCTCTGCCCTTAGGCTCTCTTCCGCTCTGTGGCTATGATGGTGCCGGATTATGCCTTAATTTCCGAAATTGAACTTTACTCGTATGGTTTCCTAACGGCCAAGCCGCTTTCTGTCAAGATTGTGGCCACGTATCGCCTGTGCTCGGAACAGCTTAGTACCCAGTGCCATTATGATTATGGTATGCGAGCTGTCAAATCTGTGCTGAAGGCGGCGGGCGCCTTGAAGTTGCGCTATCGCGATGAGAATGAGGATATACTGGTGTTGCGCTCCATTAAGGATGTCAATTTGCCCAAGTTCTTGAATCAGGATATACCGCTATTCCAGGGCATTACCTCCGATCTGTTCCCGGGCGTCACACTGCCTGAGGCGGACTACGTGCTCTTCAATGAGTGCACGCAAATGGCCTGCGAAAGGCAGAACAAACAATGCACACCGTTTGTCCTGGAGAAGGTGCAACAGGTGGGCAGATACTTCATATAATAGTCCATATATATTCTCTTTAATTATTCCCTTCGACTGCAGCTCTACGAGATGATTGTGGTGCGTCATGGTCTGATGCTGGTGGGTTATCCATTTGGCGGCAAGAGCACAACCTATCGCGTACTTGCCGAGGCGCTGGAGTGCATGGAGAAAAAGGATGGCTCCGAAAATGGTGCTATATACACTATAATCAATCCGAAGGCCATAACCATGGGCCAGCTTTATGGCCAATTCGATGCCGTTTCTCATGAGTGGAGCGATGGCATTTTGGCTGTCAATTATCGCATCTTTGCCGTCTCCGATACGCCCGATCGCAAGTGGCTAATATTTGATGGGCCCGTGGATGCCATTTGGATTGAGAACATGAACACTGTGCTGGATGATAATAAGAAATTGTGCCTTATGTCCGGTGAGATTATACAGCTCTCGAATACCACGAATCTCATATTTGAGCCTATGGATCTGGAGGTGGCCTCACCGGCTACCGTTTCGCGTTGCGGCATGATCTATTTGGAGCCCAGCTCGCTGGGCTGGGAACCGCTGGTGACCTCCTGGAAGAATACTCTGCCCGCTGCTTTTCACAGCGTAAGCAAACATCTGATCTCATCGATGATTTCACGTTTCTGCCCGCTGCTGTTGCACGTGGTGCGCAAGGGCTTGCGCGAAATTGCCCCCACCTCGGACACCAATCTGATGGTTAGTCTGATGAATTTCTTTGAGTGCTACATTGATGATTTCCGTGACGAGAAATATGTGGCAAACATATCTGATTTGGATTTTCGCGCACAAACCGAAGGCATTTTCCTATTCTCAGCGATTTGGTCACTTGGCGGTTCCCTAACCGCCGAGAGCCGGGACAAATTTAATATAGTCTTTCGTGCGCTTATGGAGAAGACCTTTCCACAGAGCCTATATGATGCCTATGGCGTTACAGAGGATTTATATGTAGAGCCGCTGGCGAAACCTTTCATATTTCCCATACCCAAACATGGTTCAGTCTTTGACTATCGCTACATAAAGGAGGGCAAAGGCAAATGGAAGCCCTGGCAGGATGATGTCAATTCCGCACCACCGCTGCCACGCGACATACCAGTTAATCAGATTATCATACAGACGAACGAGAGTGTGCGCATTGCAGCCGTCCTGGATCTGTTGGTGCGACATGGCAAGCCGCTGATGCTGGTGGGACCCACGGGCACCGGCAAGAGTGTCTATGTGATAGATTATATGCTAAAGAAAATGGATTTGAGTGTGTACAAGCCACTGTTGATCAGTTTCTCGGCACAGACATCGGCTAATCAGACGCAGGACATAATCATGTCCAAGCTGGACAAGCGACGCAAGGGCGTCTTTGGGCCACCTCTAAATAGTCGCTTTGTCATCTTTGTAGATGATGTTTCCATGCCACTGAAGGAGAACTATGGCGCCCAGCCGCCGATTGAATTGCTGCGCATGATGCTGGATCATATGATGTGGTACGATCGCAAGAATATTGTGCCCATGAAATTGATTGATTTGCAAATGATTACCGCTATGGGTCCACCGGCGACGGGCAATACGGTGACGCCACGCTTTCAGCGTTTCTTTAATGTGGTATCCATCGATGATTTCAATGATGATATTATGACCACCATCTTTGGCAAAATTGTGCTCTGGCATTTGGATGCGCGGTGAGTCGGGTGTATTTAATTGCCTATTCAACTTAATCCAAATTCTCTTAACTAATGACAGCGGCTTCTCGAAGGAGTTTGATCCGTGCATCGATGAGATTGTCAATGCCACATTGAGCGTCTACAATGATGCCAAGCTGAATCTTTTGCCCACACCAGCTAAATCGCATTATCTGTTCAATTTGCGTGACTTTTCGCGTGTTATACAAGGTGTTCTTCTTTCGGTGCCGGAGGCCACGGAGGATATGAACTCGATGCGTAGGCTGTGGGTGCATGAGGTTTTGCGCGTCTACGGCGATCGTTTGGTCGAGGATGCGGATCGTACCTGGCTATTTGGGAAACTATGCGCCACTGTGCAGGATTGCTTTAATCTCGATGCGTCGCGTCTGTTTGCACGCTTTGTGGGTCAGGGCAAAAAACTGGAAGAGTCCGATTTCCGACAATTGATCTATTGCGATTTTACCAATCCGAAAGCGGATACCAAGAACTATGTTGAGGTGCAGGATGTCGAGGAGTTGCGCGTCGTTGTGGAGGCCTATCTAGTTGAATATAATAATATGTCCAAGAAACCAATGAATCTGGTACTTTTCCGCTTTGCCATCGAACATTTATCGCGCATATGTCGCATCATAAAGCAGCCACGTAGTCATGCTCTGCTCATCGGTGTCGGCGGCTCCGGGCGTCAGAGCTTGACTCGTTTGGCTTCGCATATATGCGACTATGAGCTCTTTCAAGTGGAAATAACTCGATTGTATGGTCCGTATGAGTATCATGAGGATATCAAATCCATATTACGTAAAATTGGTGCCTCTGAAATGCACGGCGTTTTCCTCTTTACGGACGTTCAGGTGGGCGCTTAAGCTTTAATAGCTGGGTCGCACTTTTTGGCTTTTGCATTTTGCTAATGTCTTGAAGACTTTTAGATCAAAGACGAATCTTTCCTGGAGGATATCAACAATCTGTTAAACTCCGGCGAGGTGCCCAATCTGTTCTCCAACGAGGAGAAAATCGAGGTGGTCGAAAAGATGGCACAAATCGACAAACAGCGCGACAAGGCCGTACAAACTGATGGCAGTCCCGTTGCCCTATTTAACTTTTTCGTTACGGTGGGAGCTATAATTAAATACCATTTAAACTTAACATTCATCTTAAACTAATTACCCTTTGGTTTTTCCACATTTTTCATGCAGACGTGCAAGGATCAACTTCACATTGTCCTGGCCATGTCGCCGATTGGCGATGCCCTGCGTAATCGTATACGGAAATTCCCCTCGATTGTCAATTGTTGTACGATTGATTGGTTCCAACCCTGGCCGGAGGATGCTCTGCTCGCGGTATCCACACGTTTCCTGGCCGCCGAGGAGCTGACTGCCCTGGAGCGCAAAACAGCCATCGATATGTGCATGGAGTTCCATACATCCACACAGGAGCTGTCGGCCAAGTTCTTTAGACGACTGCATCGCTATAATTATGTGACGCCTACATCCTATCTGGAACTGATACAGACCTTTAAGGCATTGCTTAGCCAAAAGAGAAAGTGGGTGAAAAACCAGAGAGTTGACTACGATAAAATTATAAGTCTCATAATATCTTACCTTTTAGCAATATAACCATGAATCGGAATCGCTATTTGACGGGCATCTCGCAGCTGGATATTGCCGCACAGCAGGTGGCCGTCATGCAGGAGCAGTTGCAGGCACTGGAGCCAAAGCTAAAGGAGGCCTCCGAGATTGTAGCCGAGCAGGTGGCCAAGGTGACGGCGGACAGTAAAATTGCCGCCGAGCAGCGGGAAATGGTCAAAGAGGATGAGCAGGCGGCCAAGGTGCAGGCAGCTGTTGCCCAAGAGATCAAAGATGAATGCGATGCCAAATTGGGCGAGGCGTTGCCCATTCTGGAGGCCGCCCTATCAGCCTTGAACACACTGACCACCGCTGATATTGCTGTGGTGAAGACCATGAAGAGTCCGCCAATTGGAGTGCGCATCGTTATGGAAGCCGTTTGCATTCTGAAGGATATGAAGCCCGACAAGGTGCCAAATCCGAGTGGTCTGGGCACTGTCGAGGATTACTGGGGTCCGTCAAAGCGTGTGCTCAGCGACATGAAGTTCCTGGACAGCTTGCTCAACTTTGACAAGGACAACATACCGCCGGAGGTCATGAAGAAATTGCAACAGCGCATTCTCACCAATGAGGCCTTCGATCCCGAAAAGATCAAGATGGCATCCACGGCTTGTGAAGGTCTCTGCCGCTGGGTCATTGCTCTGTCCAAATACGATGTCGTTGCCAAAGTTGTGGCGCCCAAGAAAATTGCCTTGGCTGCAGCCGAGGCCGACTACAATGCGGCCATGAAACTGCTCAACGAAAAATTGGCCCAACTGGCCCGCGTCGAAGCGAATCTGGCGGCCATTCAAAAGATTCTCGACGAACAGTTGCGACAATATGGGTGAGTAGCAACAAGACGGGCTGCGAACCAGTTCGGTTCACGGCCGCAATTCCAAAGTTTTCCTGAACCCGAACCTGAATTGGAAATGTTATATAAAATTAAAAACAATTTATACGAAGTAAGGCTCGAACCTATTATCCGAATCTCTCAAAACTTTGTTCGATTTGCAGGCATAACATATTCTGAAATGAACTGGTTCCAACCAGGAATTACATATTTACATTATTTTGAACCAAATCGTAAACCACATTTTGTTTGGTTTTTAGTTCGACTTAACAGAATACTTACTGCCAAAATAATAATTATTTTGGCCCCAAATATTGAATATATCTAATACCCCTTTTGGGATTGATTGAATATAGCCCGCATCTGGTATATGAAAATATTTACGGCTTGCAATATTTTCAGTACAACGGGCATTTGTAAATTATACAACATTTTTTTCATTAAAATTTAAAAATGGAACCAAAATCAATGTTCGAGTTTCACGAGCTGGTTCGTGAACCGTAAACCGAACCTTTCTTTGCCATAACATTAGATATGAACTAAAAATTGTTTTTTCTTTTCTTATAGTATTCTTCTGTCGGAGCATGAAGCTTGTACAAAGAAATTGCAGCGTGCCCAGGAGCTCATCTCTGGCTTGGGCGGCGAGCGGACGCGTTGGTCCGAAACGGCCAAAATGCTGCAGGGGAGCTTTAAGAGTGTAACGGGCGATGTGCTCATTTCGTCAGGTGTCGTTTCCTATTTGGGACCATTCACCATTGATTTCCGTGTTACGCAAATTCGTAAATGGGTTGTGAAGTGTCTGGATTATGGAGTTACCTGCTCGCCGGACTTTCAGTTGGCCATTGTTTTGGGCGAACCGGTCGAGATTCGTTTCTGGAATATATGCGGATTGCCCACGGATGCATTTTCCGTTGAGAGCGCCATCATGATGAAGTAAGTGTTCTCTCTCTTTTTTTCTACCCACTTTGAACTAAGCTTTGAAAGTTTAAATGAAGTTAGCTGCGGTGTCAATATGGGCAGGATTTAAGGTAAAACTAATATCTCTTAAAATTGAAACGGATGTGGGCATTAAAATGGAATAGAGAAAGTTTTTGGGAAAGGGCAGCACTGTACAACCAGGCGAATGCCGCCCCACAAAGTCATTAGCTGACAAATCGATGCAGAGAGCTTTATGCGAAGACTTTCATTAGTCTGCGCAGCAACAGCTGTGGCTCAGTCAGCCAATAAACTTGTTCAATTAAACAACCTAAAACGCTAATTAGAGCTGAACGCTTGTCAGAAGCACATTTTTCACATTTTAATATGCCCTTATTGTGGATATTATTGATTTTGTCACCAAGTATGTATGCCTTTAAGCAGGCATAATGCCCAAACCTTGACAAACCTATTTTTTTTTCACTACAAATATTCGCATTAGTTACAAATAATAAAAATAATTAATAATAATAATTATTATTATTTTAAGGTTACAATCATAACAATATTGCTATATTAATTATTAATCATTATAATTATTATTATTATTAGTATTATGATTAGTATTAGTATTATTAGTATTAGTCTTATTAGTATTATTATTATCACTATCAATATCAATATTATTATTTTTATTATTATTATTTTTTTTTTATTATTATTATAATTATTATTATTATTAGTACAATAACTCATTTTTATTTTTCATTATCATTATCATCATTATTGTTAAAAAGTATTAGTATCAATTTAACTTTATATTTCATTACTCTGATTAAGATAAACAATATTAAAGTACAATTCTGAGATTTGTACCCGAAACTTTCTTACTAAAAAACTCTTATCAAAGATCAAGCTACCAGCTACCTAGAGTTTTATACAGCTTAGTTAAGATTAGAAGCCGTTATTATAAAGCTGGCACGAGCGCAAATTTGATTAATGGTTTTCGCTAGGGTATTAAATTTCGGCATACCGCATTTAACTGTTCTTTCTTGTTTCTAATTACAAAACATAAAATGTTAGAATTCACGCATATTAAGAAAATTAAAGATATGCAGCTTAGCGTGGCGTGGCGAGTGTGAGAACAGTACCGGATGCTGCAGGGTTGGGGTGTTGCGTTTGTGTGTGTGTTTGAGGCGCCCGCATGTTGCCCAGGCACAGGAGCACCGCATGCTCCGGTGGTTGCTTTAGCTGAAGGTACAAGAACGTACCAAAACGTAAGGGCTGATAATAGGGGAGTGGGAGGCGCGCAGGGCAAAGAATTTTCATGTTTGATGCGTGTGTTAGAGCATTACGCATCTGGTGAGTTTCCACCGAAAGGGCGATACGTCGCGATGCCACATGCCACATGCCACTCCATGTCGCATGTCGATTTAATAAAGAAAATTCCTGGCTGCTTCCTCGCCGAGTGTTCAAAGTAATTTGGAGCATGCCCAAAATACCTGAGGTGTGAGCCACAGTCACCGCCACCGCCACGACCACCGCCACCGTGTTGCACAAAGGATAAGCAATTGATTAATGTGCTCTCCGGGCGCATTACGTTTAATTTTTACCCATGGACATGGCAAATGAATGATGTTGGGATTTGCTCAGACGCCACTAGTTACTAGCTGCAGGACACAAGACGAATGAACTTGTATTTTGTTTTAGTTTTTGTTTTTTGTCTTTAAACACCCTTTAAAGAATGAACAGAAAGGGCATAATGAGGCTGTGCCAAAATGTGTAACAGACAGAAGAAAGTCTATATACTCTTGAGCAGATGGATCCACAGAGTCAGTCTGTATCTATGCTTGACTTAGAAGACTACGTCGATAATTATATATTTCAAATGCTCGATAATTATCGATACATATCGATTATAAGCTCCCAATTTTATTTATACATACATATCGATGGAGGTGAGAGATTATTTTCTTGATACTCTTGATTAGATGGAGTCAATCTGTCTTTATGCATGACTTATGACTACGACGATTATTATCTAATTCAAATGCTCGATAATTATCGATACATATCGATTATAAGTTCCCAATTTTATTTATACATACATATCGATGGAGGTGAGAGACTATCTGATCTTGCAGGTTTTCATTCAATTCCCATAGGCCTAGAATATTTAACTTTTTGGATACCCCTCTCCCCTTACCATAAAATTAAAAAAATATTTTAAATTTAGAGACTTAACTTTTGGTATATAAGTAACGTACTCTTTAAACATATTAAATTGTCTTTGTTTAGAGCCTAGAGCCTTCATAGCAATCGATCAATACATGAGGATATTATTTAATAGGGAATATATCATTGGTGCTGCTGCTGAGGCCTATATAGCTTCTTAAAGTTTTGCACAGGGTATTTCCCAGCGGAGCACTTTCGAGCACTCTTACTTGTTTCTCTAGCCCTTACTGTTGTTTTATTGGGTCGACACGTCGCCCACATGGTGCGTAGCCCGCTTCGCCAATTGCTAATTTGGGGTAGCAGGTGCGGAGTCGTTCATTGTGGGTCCGGTTCGGGTCATGTCTCTTTGCATAAATGTTTGATTAAATAATGTTAATTTGGACAGGGGAGAGAATTGCCTTTTGGAGATTTGCATATTAAGCAGGCAGAACGTTTTGCCCAAAAGTATCTTAAAGTGTTTCGATTTGAGCTTTTGTAGCTTTTGGGCAAGCATATTTTCATTTCAATTGAAACGAACCAAGTGTAAACCCACCCGCAGCTGTGTACAATTTTTGTGATTTACTAAAAGATTCCTTTTGTTGTCAATTCTGTTTTTTTTTCCTTTTATTGCATTTGCATTGTTATAATAATTTTTTGCATATTCTTTTTCGTATTGTTTGCTTCTCTCTTTGGCGTTTTCAATGTTCTTCCTTGTGGTGTTTTTTGAACTCTGGTAACTTTTCACATTTTAACTGCCTACTGAGCTCGCTCCCACAAACTTTCTAATACCCTGTAAATATAAAGAACTGCATAAAAGTGGTTAGTTTGGCTTTTAAATGTAATAGTCGGAAGGAGACTGATTGCTGGAAATAAATTAATTTTTTATTTAAGTTCCGGGCTCGAACTTGGACATTTTAATATTTTGCCCTTGTTTCGTTTTAATTCACGTAGCTTTTGATGCTCTAGAAAATTAGATCACCTTCGATTTAAAAAAAGGAAACTATGGAAAAGCTCAGCTTTTATTTTTGATGAAGTTTATTTGTGCCCTTACGAAATATATATTGTAGTAGGGTATCTGTCAGTCGTTCAGTCGCGACTTTGACACTCTTGCGTATTCATTTCTGCATTCTAGAATACATTGTGTTGGGCTGTGTGTCCAGCTCGAAACATATATATGTTTATGTATATATATGTATATACACTCGTGTAGTTGTTCGTTTGGCATGTTGTATGCGCATTTATTCGCTGACATTTTTCATGGACTCAAACTCTCTGCGGGAGCGCTTGAAATTGGCTCCTTTGTTTTTGCATCAAATATTTTTCATTCATCAAGTTTTCAATTTACAAAAATGTTCATTCATTCGCATGAACAAATTTGTGTTCGGTGTGAATTTGTCATGTGCTGCAGCCAGCGCGTTGCCAGGAGCCCATTTCTCGATGTTCTTGTTGTTGTATTTGCCTATTGTATCTTTAAATATGTATCTGTGAGTTATCGTATGGGCATATAAACTCCTATATATATGTCATGTACATGTGCCTATATATATTATATATTTGATATGTATTTATCGCCCTTTTTCTGGCTTTTTCATTATTTTATTTTTAATATAATATTTATAATTTCCATAACAATACTTACGCCCATTAAATATTGAGAGCTTGTGATATTTTGCGCACTCAAAATATAAAATAAAGAGGTACTCAAAACTAATCCAAATATACAAAAATTCAACAAAATAAAGTGGAAATTTAAGCTGCTTAAAAGTCAAATTTACATTTTCAAAGTCTGCCCTTATTTTCGCTAAATATTTAAATAATTTGATGAGAAATTTAATCGCAATGCTAGTGCAATATTTTTTCTGTTTTATATAATTTAATTTGTTTCATCTCTTTATAGGAATGCGCGCCGCTGGCCGCTGATGATTGATCCGCAGGGACAGGCCAATAAATGGATTAAGAATTATGAGAAGAACAACAAGTTGTGCGTTATACGATTGAATCAGGCGGATTATACGCGTGTGCTGGAGAATGCCATACAATTTGGTTTGCCCGTGCTGCTGGAAAACATTGGCGAGGAGCTGGATCCCATACTGGAGGCCATATTGCTGAAGCAACTGTTCAAACAGGGCGGCACCATGTGCATTAAGCTGGGCGATTCGGTTATTGAGTATAACTATAGCTTCAGGTGATATAATTTTGAACATAAAAAATCATATTATAAAATTGATTTCCTTATTTGCCGTAACAGATTCTATATGACAACCAAACTAAGAAATCCCCACTATTTGCCCGAGGTGGCGGTCAAGGTGACCTTATTGAATTTCATGATCACCACGCAGGGCTTACAGGATCAATTGCTGGGCATAACCGTGGCTCGAGAACGACCCGATTTGGAGGCGGAAAAGAATAATCTCATCGTACAGGGCGCTGAGAACAAGCGTATGCTGAAAGAGACCGAAGATCAGATATTGGAGGTGCTCTCCTCGGCCGAGAATATATTGGAGGATGAAACTGCGGTCCAAATATTGAGCTCAGCCAAAGCTCTGGCCAATGATATTAGCGAGAAGCAGATTATTACGGAGGCCACCGAAAAACAGATCGATTTGGCGCGTCTCAGCTATGTGCCCATAGCGGAACACTCCACAATTCTGTTCTTTACCATAGGTAAACTAACTGTTAGTTAATAGAGTGAACTCTCTTTAACATTTTTTTTGTTATTCCACAGTGGATCTGGCCAATATTGATCCCATGTATCAGTACAGTTTGGTTTGGTTTGTCAATTTGTACATGTCCTCCATTGATAATACGGAAAAGGTCGATGATATCGAGGCACGTCTAAAGGACTTGCGCAATCATTTCACCTATAGCCTGTACGTCAACATCTGCCGCAGTCTCTTCGAGCGTGTAAGTACTTCAGCTCCAATGCCAATTATCATCAAACGTTAGTTCAGCTGGGGTCACTGCTGGATCCATCAACTTTCCCCTCCCCTATCCCTCCTGTTTTGTTGTGGGCCTTGTGTGTGTGGGTGTGTGTCATAATTGCGATATAATCCCATTGCGTTGTATTTGATGCGTTTTACTGGGCGCGCTTGATTTTCTTTGTGGCTGCGTATCGTTGCGCTTCACTGCGTTATAATAATTCCTTAGCATCGGCTTTAAGGGCTTGTGCCTCGCCGCCACTTCCAATTGACAGCACGCAGTAAATGCTGTGTGCCAGGTGCGTGTGCTTCGCACAGTGGAATTTAACAAGTATCTATTTTTACACACTACTTTTGTTCGAGAGGTCAACCTCATGTTCATGGCAAAGTTGACAAATCACTTTTACTGCTTGTCCTAATAGATTTTCTTACTTTAACTACTTCATATAACTTTATAATGTGACTCTTTATCTGCCTGTTAAAGTTGACAACTGCCTTTTTATCTAGTTATATTTAAGATAATTTAAATAAACGTATTTATAGCACAAATCAAAGCTGACAGTGACTTTGACAAGCAATAACAAAGTTGTCAACCTTTTGTTTAAGATTGTCTTCCCATCTTAACTATTTGTTAAATTCAATTTTGCGTACTTTTGAGCTTAACTGCCAGTTAAAAATTTGACAAGAAGTAGGATTTATTATCATAGAAGTGCATTTTAGAGTTAAATTTGGGTTTTACAATTTATATGCCAGCTCTGCCAACTCGTCGATAAGTTTTTATCCATCTTCAACAACAACTTAAAAATGTTGGTCACAATAAGATAAAAACGAACCGTAGCATCTTTTGCTAATCAGGGACTCATTTTCTGTCCACTGTGCCACTTTCACTGAGGGAATAATATTGTAACCTCGTTGGAATCAAAGCGGGGTGAACGAAGAGCGAAAAATCAACCAGGTCCTTTTTGGCTTGATGATGTTTTCAGTCAATTATGCTATGTGCCCTTGCTGCATAAGCTCCCCTTTGATCCTTGGCTTTTAATTTTCTTGTGAAAAAAATATGAAATGATGAAAAATGAAATTGTGAAACGGTATCTGTAGTCGTGTTGGCTTGATTGCTTATGTAACCCCATTTGAAAGCCCATTTTAATGCGTCCGAAAATATGAAATAAAAAAAAAAACTAATAAAATGTCTGCTTCATGACAGGATAAGCTCTTGTTCTCCCTCATATTGAACATCAATCTGATGAAGCATGAAAATTTGATTGACAATGCTGAATGGATGTTCCTGCTAACTGGCGGAATTGGCCTCGAGAATCCGTATAAAAATCCAGCTGCCTGGCTGGGCGTACAAAATTGGGATGAATGCTGCCGTTTAACGAGTCTTTCAGCCTTTAAAGGACTACGCGAAGATTTCACCGACAATTCGGCCGCTTGGAAGATGTTCTTTGACTCGAAAACACCGCAGGACAATAAGGACATACCAAGTGCGTGGTCAAAGCGCTTAAGCGTATTCCAGCAATTGTTGCTGCTGCGCGTCTTTCGGCCGGATAAACTGGTGCCAGCTGTCCTGAACTTTGTGGCCGGTGAGCTGGGTCAACGATTCGTGGATCCGCCGCAATTCGATTTGATGGCCTCATTTGGCGATTCCCATTGCTGTGTGCCCTTGATATTTATATTGACACCCGGCTCGGATCCGACGGCCACGCTGTTGAAATTTGCCGAGGATCAGGGCTTTGGCACGAATCGTTTGTTCTCCTTGTCGCTGGGCCAGGGACAGGGTCCCATTGCCATTAAGATGATCGATGAGGGCGTCAAGCTGGGCAATTGGGTGGTCCTACAGAACTGTCATTTGGCCGCAAGTTTTATGCCATCACTGGAGAAGGTCTGCGAGAATTTGCTGCCCGATTCAACGCATCCAGATTTTCGACTGTGGCTCACCTCATATCCGGCCGAGCATTTTCCGGTTGTGGTGCTGCAGAATGGCATCAAAATGACCAATGAACCGCCCAAAGGTTTGCGGTCCAATATAACGCGCTCCATGCTCAGCGATCCGATTAGCGATCTGGAGTGGTACGAGTCCTGCACACAGCCGCGCGTCTTCAAGCAGCTGATCTACTCGCTGTGCTTCTTCCATGCCGTCATCCAGGAGCGTCGCTACTTTGGTCCCATTGGCTGGAATATACCCTACGAGTTCAACGAGACGGATCTGCGCATCTCCTTGATGCAGTTGCGCATGTTCCTCAACCAGTACGAGACGGTCAATTATGATGCCTTACGCTATCTTACCGGCGAGTGTAATTATGGTGGACGTGTCACCGACGACTGGGATCGTCGCACTTTGAAGACTATACTGGATCGCTTCTATTGCCCGGCTGTAATTGATTTGGAGAAACCCTACTATTTGGATGAGACGGGCTACTATTATGTGCCCGTGTTCAAGGATGTCGAATTATATCTAACTTTTACGCGCGAATTGCCGCAAATATCGCCACCCTCCATCTTTGGCTTCCATGCGAATGCGGATATTATGAAGGATCAACAGGAAACGGATATGTTGCTCTCACACACACTATTGACACAGGTATGTGCGTTGCCGTACTTTCGCTTGGGCCTACATTTATCACATCTGTGATATTTTACTAAAGTTTGTTACATGTAGATATTAGTTAGTAACGTTGGGTGCGCGCCGAGAGATAGTAGATAAATTTGGAATATACGAAATATTCCTCGTCTTCCAAATGCATTATCAAGTTTGCTTAACTTATCGATAACTTTGTCCGTTCTGACTCAATCGATAAATATCGGTTTAATTTGCAAATTATTTAAACATCCAACTTGATATATCAGCTCTCGAAGCGGAAAATTTAACATCTTGAATATCTTCCTTAACTCCTACAACCTTCCTTCCTTTAAGCTTGGTTGCCATATTTTCGCAATAAAACTTGTTCTATCGGTCAAGAGACATGGAAGTAATTTAAGAATGAATATTCGACTGGAAGATTCTTTATAGATTTTTAAAAGATTCCTTTAAAAAAAACTCGCAATTTATATAAATATCAAATTTTATATGTCAGCTCTCTTGAATATCTGCCTTAGCTCCTACAACCTTCCCTCCTTCCTTTATGCTGTGGTGATGCACACATTAAATTGCCAAATTTTGTCAATAAAATTTGCTCTATTGTTGAAGAGACTAACGTCTGTTGCTTATAATCTGCCCTATTCCTGACTGGAAGATTCTTGAGATAGATTTTTAAGATCCCTTTAAAAAATACCACGCATCTAACTAGTTTGTCGTTAAACATTCTTGTGCTTAATATTTCGCTTAACTTTTGCTTGTTCGTATTTCTTACTGCCGCTCAAAAGGAACGTTGGGTAAGTTTATATCAAGAGGGTTTTACACTTTGAGATTTTTAATAACACATTATTTGCTCCATGCCTGCCTGTACAGGATCTGAATGAGAAACGCGTAAGTTGTTTGCAGCTCAAGCATGTCGGGCATTCGCTTTTTGTTGTTGACAGCTTTCTTTTGTGATTTTGTTAATACGCTTGCGCTTTAGAGACTGGAGAAAACCCAAAGAGTTTATGTAGATGTGCTGTCGCGACGCTTTCCCGAAAACCTATCCCTACCCAATTATCCAACCTGTCCACCCTACCTTGCACTCTACCAAATGCCATTGAAGGACACAAGCGGCTCCCAGGACGACAGCGGGGGTACCAAGGCGCTGACGCCCGAGGAGGTGGTGACCAATGTGGCCACCGATATCTTGGACAAGCTGCCCAAACTGTTCGACCGGGAGGCGGCACTCCTACGCTATCCGACCAAATATCATCAGAGCATGAATACGGTGCTGGTGCAGGAAATGGTGCGATTCAATGTCCTGCTAAATACAATACGCACCAGCTTGATAACGCTCAAAAAGGGTATCAAGGGTAAGTTGGTTTGTTGCACTCAACTAAATAACTTTTAATTTTCAATTGTGGTTAAAACAATAATTGGCCTACACAACATTAATCGCGATGTGATAGTACAGAGCGCGTTACCGACAGCTTTGTCTTAACCGGATGGTGGTCTTCCCCGGCAGCTGTTTGCAATTCGTAATTGCTGAACATTCCGCTCTTTGTGGCGGATCCGAGTTTGCCCTGGAAATAGGAGTTGGATGTATTGCTTCTAACCAATTGATCAGTGACATCGGGCATTAGGAGCGAGATTCGTGATCCTGTTTTTTCCGAAATTTGTTTATCATCGCCTTCCAAATTCTCCTCCTCCACTGAGGCTTCTTCCAAATTCTCTTTTAACACTAGTTCCTCTTGTATCGCTAGTTCCTCTTGTAACACTAGTTCCTCTTGTCGCTCGCGTACCTCTTGTAGCTCGTGCTCCTCTTCTTCTTCATATTCCTCCGAGCCTTCAAGGTTTCCATCATATATATTAAAGTCCTGCTCCTCCTCATTCTCATTCTCATCCTCGCCCTCGCGCTCGCCCCCGCCTGTGGCCTGATTCCACAAGCTGCGCTCGTCATCCGCCTCATATTCGGTATTCTCCTCGACATCACCCACTAAATCACCCACAAAATCATGCAGTGCACCAATGATCTGATCCTCCTTCCGTGTCTGTGTGCCACCCGTTTCAAACTTGATGCCAATATCAGTTAATGTGCTCGAGAAACGCTGCGTCAATACGCCGTGTTCATTATGATTATATGATTTGCGATATATTTTGAAGTCATCCTCCTGGCCAAGGTCCAATGCGCTGATCACACTGAAAATATCTTCACCGTCTGGGCCTTCCTGAGCTTTAACAGTTTCGTACACCTGCATCTTGAGCAACGTATCATGGGTGGCATCCTTTGCGTCATCGCCCGGATATTGTTCATTGGTGTACAGATCTCTGGTTACATTATCGACCTTCATTTTCTTGAGGAGCGACAATATTTGGGTGCGTAAAAATGTCACTTGAGAGTCCGTTTCAATTATTTCCTTGCGTTCGTGTCTTTCCGTTTGCATTTCCTCGGTAATGTGACGTATATCATCCATGGGCGTCATCGCTTGTCTGGAATAGGCTAACTGCAGCTCTACTGGGTCGACCGGTGGCAAATCAGCGTCTATTTTCTCCATAATTCTGTTGAAAACATCATCCAACAGACTCACACAGTTCTCATGGATAATGCGTTCCGTTTCCGTCTTCCAGCGCCGGCCGGGCACCGCCTGGCGTATTATTTTCCGTATTATGGCCTCCGCCTCACGCTCGCAGTTGCGTTTCGGCTGCTCGCTTTCACTTTCCGTGGAAAAGAAATATAGATCATTATCGATCAGACGATCAATCAGATCGCTCGCAATTGTGCTCGCTATATCATAGTTCTCCAGCTCGTCCCAGATGCGGCCAAAGAGCACATCCTCCACAATATATTTTGCGATCAGGATCTTCTCATATTTCAGCAGCAGCTCGCTCAGGTCCGGAAAGACCATGCTGCGCAGCATCTCACGCAGCGGCCCATAGGTCAGCGGTGTCTGGACGCCCTTGAAGCTCTCCAACCAACGCTGAATATCCGCATCGATTTGCTTGGCCATAGATACAACGGTTTCGGCCGCATCGCATTCGGCTATGTGGGCCATATCGGTGGTTAGAATCGTGTTGATATAGTCATCGGTAATCTCATTGTGGACCACATTGCTCTGCTGGAACATGTCCTCGTAGAGCAAGCGCATGCTGTTCTCCTTTTGGCGTAGACCCGCCTCGGCGGCCTCCCGGCGCCAGCGCTCCTTTTGCGTGAGTATGGAGAAGAAGTGCAGCTTGCGCTGCTCCTTGAGACGTTCCATTTCCTCGGAAAGGAATTGCATTATCCAGCCAATGGTGCTGCCCTCGTACATGTGCAGCAGATGCTCCAGATCCTCGCTTCGCCGCTCACGGAGCAGCTCTCTGGCCAATTCCGGTCGGCGATGACGCCGCTCCTCGTCGCCAAGGTGCTGCTGTATGGCCAGCTGCTGTTCGGGCAGAAGAGATGCCTTGGCTCGCGACTCATCCGTGCGTCGTCGATTGCCAAAGAAATCGGTGGGATCTATCTCATCGTCAGTGTACGTCAATCGGTCGACATCGGAAACGGGTTTCGGACGACGCTTCAGGCATTTGGGCGATGTCTTTTGTTTGGTTGCTTGCGAGCGCAGACTCTTCAGCGATTCGTAGAGCTTCTGCAGATTCTTGTCGGAGCAGAAGTTCTGCTCATATTCCTTGACATATTCCTTGGGCTTGGACCATTCCTTGAGCTTGGTAAATGGACACTCCAGCTGTTCCATATTCACACGCTTCTCCAGATCATCGATGCGCATATCGAACGCCTTCCGGCCGTCGCCGACAAAATTGCGACGCGACGGATCCACGCCGTGCCGTATGAGCGGCCCGTAGAACTCGGAGCAGGGCGAGCCCAGTGCATACATGGGACTCTGTTTGACCCAACGTCTTGAGATGCCCGCGTTCTTAATCTGCAGACGTCGAAACGCGCGCTGATATTCAAGCTCGTTCTTGTGGAGACCATGCTGGCGACGCTGCTCGATTGTCTCGCAGGCGGTCTCGATGCGTGACTTGGATGCGTTGTGCATCTGTTTCTCGCGCTTGTCAAACATCCGTATGACTATCTCCAGTCGCATCATCTGGCACTCCTGGATATACTCCTCGCGCTCCATCCAGTGCTCCCACTCGAACGCCTCCAATATGGGACGGTATTTGCTTTTGATGGCCCTTTCGCGTTCCTCGTGCAGCTGCTTCTGGAAGTTCGTCTTCAGCGCCTTGTTGAAGGCCCAACGCTTGCGGGCACGCTCCAAGATCTCAACCTCATAGAGGCCCGGTGGCTTATCGCCAGCCAGTAGTGTGGACAAATTGAATATCTCCAAATGCTCGTCCTGTTCCTTGTCTGTAATGTCCGGCAAATAGGCAAGGGTCTGTGCCGAGGATTCCCTGAATTAAAAATGGATTTCATTCGATTGGGTTAATTGTGAGCTGGTGTTTATTTAACTAGCTCTACCTGTAAAGTGTCTGCGTGGTCTGATCCTTAAAGCGACGTTTGTCCACATATTTGGGAAAGTAATCGCACTTGGTTGTATAATCCTGGACGCTCTGCACCGAATCCCGCATCTTGACCTCAAATGTGACAACATCGGTATCGCGTTCGGTAAGAAATTCAATTCCTGGTGCCTTGAACTGGCACTCACTGTCCGTGCGCGCGAGCCAGCCAACCCTGCGCTCCGCCGGATTGTTGGCGCCTGCAGGACATGACAAGGACATAGGATTAATGTCTTAAAGTCAATTATTGTGTGCTTACCGCCAGTTATGCGCGGATCGAGCCCAGGATTGGTTATCAAACACGAAGTGAGGCCCGTTTGCGACTCACTCTCTTTGACTGTCGTTTGCCGTGGTTGCATCACAAGACGCGGCTTGCTAAAGGTCACGCGCTTGGCATGCTTTGGCGGCTCCACCAGCAGCTGTTCCTTGGACTTAATCCTCTTGACCTGCTCAACCTTTTGCGAGCTGCTGTGCACCGAGGTGGTGCTGCTGCGGCGCATGCGACGCGCCTCGTACAGCACATTCATGATGTCCTGCTCCTGCGACTCCTGCCCTGGCATTTTGAGTACACTTTTTTCTTGCCAGCTAATTGGGGCTTTTTTACAGCACAAATAATTCAAAAATAATATATAACTAGCTATAATCAATTAAGTGTTAAGCACGTCTGTTGGCCATTGACTAATTGAAGTTTTTGGTCCCGTTCGTTGTCGAATTTTGACAAAGTTTTCTTTGCCTGCTCATTTTGAAATTCGTTGCTTTCTTCAACCAGGTCTGGTGGTCATGTCCGCTGCCGTCGAGGCGGTCTACAAGTCTGTGCTGATTGCCAAAATACCCGCCATGTGGGCCAGCAAGTCCTACCCCAGCCTAAAGCCACTTGGCAGCTATGTGGCGGACTTTTTGCGACGTCTGGAATTCCTGCAGGTGAGTTGCGTTCATCATCGAGCCAACAATTTGGCATGGCAACCACACAACTGTTGTCCTGGCAGCCCAAAGTGTTTACTAGGCCACTTGTTCCGACTTCTGACCCCCTTTTTATGCCAAGCTGCCATTGTAAACGGGTATATTGCAGCCGGTCCTACCAGGCTTATGTAACAGGTAGAAGGAGGCATCTTCAACTTAGTCCGGATCCGTCTGTCTGTAAAAAACTTGATCGTTAAATATTGTTATGCACAGTCGCAGATTAAATCAGCTAAATTTAATATTTTACTATTTTAATTCTTATTCCCATTACTCTTTGCTGAGTACAGGGTAGCTTTTAGTCGCACTTCCTTATTATCTACTCACGTATTCTCTTTTTCAGCACTGGTACGACCATGGCGCACCTTCGACCTTCTGGCTATCGGGTTTCTTTTTTACCCAGGCTTTCCTTACCGGCGCCCAGCAGAATTATGCGCGTAAATATGTCATTTCCATAGATCTGTTGGCCTTTGACTATGAGGTCCTGTCGCTGGAGGAGACAGATATCAAAGGGCTGTCTGCGCCTGCCGATGGAGTTTTTGTCTATGGCATCTATTTGGAGGGCGCTTGCTGGGATCGCAAGAACAAATATATGGCCGAATCGCGTCCACGCATGCTCTTCGACACAATGCCACTGATTTGGTTGAGGCCACTGAAGCGCTCCGATCTGCCCGAGCGGCACAATTATTTGTGTCCACTCTACAAGACTGCCGAGCGACGCGGCATTCTGTCCACCACCGGACACAGTACCAATTTTGTGGTGGCCATGCTGCTGGACTGTAATCCAAATACACCCATCGCCCATTGGATCATACGCGGCACGGCGCTTCTCTGCCAATTGAGCTTCTAAATTGCGCGGACTTTCAAGCAGGTTCGGTATATATGTACTCTATATATTCTCTGTATACCATTTAAGCTTGTGTGTGTGTAAAAGTAAATTGTCAGCAATGCTGCAGACGGTCAGCAATCTGCTCAGACGTGTATTAAAACTGTGAAAAGTTAAACCCATCTTTGTATTTGAGACCATTTTGCAATTACAATACTTTGGCATTTGTAATTTGGAATTCGAAACTCTGATTAAAGGGTTACATTTTTGTTTTAATTGTGGCTAAGCTCATCAATTTTAATTTGAAGCAGATGAGCAAAAAGCGTTGTAATTGAAATAGCGAAGATGAAGATACCCTGTCCAATATATTTTATAATTATTTTAAATATAATTATTATTATTATTTTTATTATTAATTTTATTATTAATACCATCATTATTATTATTATTAATTTTATTATTATTACCATCATTATTATTATTGATATTATTATTATTATTATTATTATTATTATTATTATTATTATTATTATTATTATTATTATTATTATTATTATTATTATTATTATTATTATTATTATTATTATTATTATTATTATTATCATTATCATTATCATTATTATTATTATTATCATTATCATTATCATTATCATTATCATTATCATTATCATTATTATACTTATTAAATAATATTTTTATTATTATTAATATTATAAATATAATTTTTTTATTGATATTGATATTGAAATTTCGAATGATGATAATAATTAACAATTTTTGAAAAAATTTTAATTAAAAAAAAATGGAGATTCCTATTTCTGAAAGATTCGGAATACCGAAAGTTCTAATTTCCAAGGGATCATTATATTAAGGCTTTATAAATGTGTAATGAATTTTATTCCTACCACACTTTATAGACGTACTTAAAACATTTACAATTGCATATGTAATTGTGTAAACTACATAGTCAAGTTTGCCAACCCTTGGCTGAAAACAGTATAAAATAACTTCATATAAGTTTTTTATAGCCCAACAGGCAACTTTAAAGTGCATTCTGTTGTACCCTTGAAATGCGAGCCACAAAGACCTTAAAATCTGTCCCATGGCAACATTGGAGTCCGTTAATCATTTATTATCTGACATGACTGTGATTATTTAACTTTTAGCTAGGCTTGCGTTGCCAGCTCCCATATATCATCCAAAGCTAGGGTGGTTTTTTTTCAATTTCAAATTGTTGCACTGCCTTTTGTGAGGGCTGTGCGACTAATTTCGCATAATAATTTATGGCCAAAGTTTGCATTGAGCCTGTTGGGCTAAAAAGTGCTTGACAATTATGCAAACTTGAAACGCCCAAGGCGACTGCATTCCTTCAAAGTGGCCCATTCAAAGTTTTGGTCGAAAGTAATACGAATTGAAATTGGTCCAATTATTGCCCCATGCAGCGTGTGCTTTTTACCTGCGCCTCAACTTATTGCCCCGCACTGCCATTAATTATAACACGCTATCACTTGAAAATGGTTTCACTCGACTTGCCAATTAATTACCACCTTCCCAGCGAGAAGCCTATTTATCACCAGCCTCCAAGCCTCGCTTCATCCCATAGATTATGGCCTGCTGTGCCTGCTCTTTGCCTGCTCAGTCGGCTGTGCGTGACCCCATCAAAGATAATGATGCTAATTAAGCGACAACATTTTCACAAAACTGTTTAAACCGATTAGACAATGCTCAAATCTGCTGATGCATGGGACAACCCCCAAAATCGCTGTTGTTTCTTTAACAGATAAAAATGCTGCGTTTGTCTGGATTTCTGATACCCTGTAGTCCTGCAGCTACAGCTGAAACGGGCATTATTAAAGTTAATGTAACGCTTGCTTCTAGAAATTGATCTGGAATAAATCAGCCCGAAGACAATTACATAAATAAAATATCAATACATTAAATTCAAATATGTAATTGACTTTACGTATGCAGATCGAATAAAGTTTATAATTTTTAGTTAGAAATATTCTGCGAAATTTGATTATAATGATTATTAAGAGCTGAAAAATTTTAAACAATGCTGAGATCAAATTACGATTTTTTCCCTTTTTTTTATATTCTTTAGTCCTTCGAAAATTCGTATAAATTGATTTTTTTTCTCATTTTTTTAGGCACTTATTGAAGATATTAAGGACTTGGCACATAAAGTCTGGTATGTACATTTTTCTATACCAAATTATTAAATTTTCATATTATTTCATATTTTGAGTCAAGTTCTCTGAAAATTCTTTAAGATATATGCAAAATATTATTTTGAATTAACTAAATTTAATAGGGGAAAAAGTTAAAATAGCTAGAATGTAGAGAATGTGTAGCTAGATTGCATAGCAAGAATGAATAGTGTATAGCTAGAATGTAGAATGTATAGCTATAATAAATAGCTAGAATGTAGAATGTGTAGCCAAAATGAATAGCTATAAAGTAGAATCTAGAATGGGTAGCTAGAATGGACAACTAGAAAGTAGCTAGTATGTAGAAAACAATTTTAAGAGAATTGAATATAATTCGATACAAATTTGAGTATCTAGAATATAGAAAACTATTTTAGGTTGTTTAAATATATAGGAATAATAACACATCAATTTATTCAGGGATAAGAATTACCTATTTCTTTGAAGTTGAATTAAAAAGTAGTTTATTGAATTAATACTGAAATTCATTCAATATAATTTAATGAATGGATTTTAAATTTAAAAATGTTTTTCTATATTAAAATGCACAATACAATCTAAATGCATTTTTGTGGCCTAAAAAATGTCAATAAACCATTCGCAGTTATTTGGAGGCTCCAAAATCGAAAAATTGCTTAAAACTATTCATAAACCTTTTTTTTTAGAATTCAATTTTTTATATTAAGCGCTGGAAATGCATAACCTATCTCCAGAACTTAAACTTTATGTTTGTCTATATTTACCAATTTTCTCCAATAAGTTTTCGTCCTCTGTTTAAAGGGTAGCTGCTAGTCAAACACTTTTCCTTGCCGCAGCTTGCACGTGTTTTTGCTTGTTTTTGTAGTGCTCTGTTCTGTTCCTATTTTTTGTTCGTTTTCATTTCCATTCTGCCAAATAATAATGCGTATTTATGAGCAAACAACGAAATTATATTTACTTGCCTCGCTCCGCCAATATTTGCATGCAATTAATTTTCCAGGCCCCAGCGACGAGCGACGACAACAACAGCAACAACAACAACAAGAGGGAATCAAACGAAGCGTAATGCCGCATCCGCTTCCCAAAAAGCATCTCAGCCAGCTTCAATTTTCCGCCCCTCCCCCACCCGAAACTCGCCGCCTAAGGAGCGCCGCAATTTATTCTAAAAAGTATTCCTAACGACGGAATCGAAGATAAATCGCCCTGTTGTTATTATTGTTGTTGTAGTTGTTGTTGTTCGGGTTGTTGTATCTGCTGCTGCTGTTGATGGCGCTGATAACGATGCGCCAACTTTGCCAAAGTTGCCCGTCCGCCGACGCCCAACCACCCCCAACCACCCGCAACCTCCCCCTGACAGAGCCCACGCTAATGCCAGGCAACATTTTCTTAAAAACTTTGCTTCAATGTTTTCGAGTTTTTTAATTAAATGTTCAAGCGTAAGACAAATAAATTGTGCAAAGTGCTGCATGTATATATATATATTGGGGAAAAATGTTTATATTGGCTAAATGTTTACCCACCCCCCTCCCCTCCGCCCATCTAAATATAATGAAGCCATTTAACTAGTAATGCATGCAGCTCATTTTCTTTAATGGCCCTTCTCCTTTTTGGCATACTCATATTTCTGTCGGCCGGATCAGCCTATTTGATTTTTTATGTTATCCCAAAAATATTTTCGGGCACTTAAATTAATTTATCGCTGGCCAACATTGCACACGGACGTCTCGCAAAGCCCATATCAATGGCAGGGCTATGCCCGAATAAATTAATGTTCTAAACACCAAAAAAAAAAAATTGTAAATCAATATTTAATATAGGGTATTTCGAGGGAATCCACTTGCTTTGCTTACTTAGCTTGCTACACATGTGTGGGCGGGGAAAAATATCGGATTTTTTGTGAAATAATCAAATTATAGAATAATATGTTATTTATCCAAAAAACTTTCCATATATTTGTTAGTTACCATACTATATACTAATTATCTAGAGGATCTATTAATCTATATTTGCATTTTTATTGGGTTTATATTTTTTCGTATTTAATAAAAAGTCATCGATTAATTTATTTTGGCAAACAATCGAATAATCGGTATTCTATGAAATCTCCGCTACATTATAGATTAAAGATATTTGGCTTTAAGATATTCGATTTGTTAGTTAAGCTTGGAATAGTAGAAGCTCCCATTTGATAAATATATCATCAAATATTCCTTGACACATTCACATGTGTATTATTTCCAATACAAGATATTGCTGTTTTATGCACGTAAGAGTATTAAGTCTTCGGCAGTTCGATTTTCCATTGTTCGCATACTTTTCTTTTTCTCTTTTTTTGGGCTTTGCCTTTTGTGTAGATTTTTTTCGCGCTTATATCGTTAAATTTATGACACGAAATATTTAGGTATTACTTTTGGGGCGCTTTATCGGCGGGCAAGTTGCAAGCTAAAGGTGGGCGTTAGGTTGGCTCGTTGGGCGTGGCATATACGTGTTACATATATGTATGACAATTTGTAGATTTATGCGCAGAAATTTGCATATTTTACATGCTGTTGTTGTTTAGACATAATAATAGTTGAGCCGGGCTCAGGGATTTGGCTTTGAGATTTGTGTTCGCATATTGAATGCATACTTTTGGGCGCCCACAGCCTACCATTTATCAACTCTTGGGCAAACATAAAATTGCACTTATGCAGCAGAGATGAAGCAACCAATCTTTGAACCAACCAGCCAACCAACCAACCAGCCGACCAAACAGCCATAACCAAAAAACCCAGTCGAGTGCATGTGTGCTATACAAAAAGCATATTTTCACACACATAAGGATGTTCGGGGCGCTCATCTTTGTGTGTGCATGTGTGTGTGTGCGTGTGTGTGTGTGGTGTATTGCTTGAGTCCTTTTCGGCATGCGCCTCTGCGCCAGATACAACCGCATAAATTGCTTTAGCACCAAAGGGATTTGTGTCAAAATCAGACAAAAAAAGACGGCAAG